TTGAAGAAAAGTGAATATTAGACTGTTCAAAAAAATAGCAGTGTTTTGTATTCTTCTTTACAAACTCAAACATTCACTATATAAACTGAAAAATGTTTGAAGATTTTGCTTTCCTTTGAATCACTTAATTAATATTTAGTTGTATAAGCACTGTTTCTGAGAACTGCTGTACATCTGTGTTGCATGGAGTCACCCAACTTCTGGCACCTGTGAACAGGTACCCCAGCCCAGGATGATTGGACTACATTCCACAGTTCTCTATTTCTTGGTTTTGCCTCAGAAACTGCATTTTTGTCACCCCACAAGTTTTCTATTGGATTAGATCCGGGGTTTGGGCTGGCCACTCCAGAACGTCAATCTTGTTGGTCTGGAACCAAGATGTTGCACGTTTACTGGTGTGTTTTGGGGTCGTTTTCTTGTTGGAACACCCATTTCAAGGGCATTTCCTCTTCAGCATAAGGCAGCATGACCTCTTCAAGTATTCTGATGTATTCAAACTGTCCATGATCCCTGGTATGCGATAAATAGGCCCAACACCGTAGTATGAGAAACATCCCCATATCATGATGCTTGCGCAACCATGCTTCACTGTCTTCACAGTGTACTGTGGCTTGAATTCAGTGTTTGGGGGTCATCTGACAAACTGTCTCCGGCCACTAGACCCAAAAAGAACAATCTTACTTTCATCAGTCCACAAAATGTTGTGCCATTTCTCTTTAGGCCAGTCAATGTGCTCTTTGGCAAATTGTAACCTCTTCAGCACATGTCTTTTTTTCAACTGTGGGACTTTGTGGGGGCTTCTTGCAGATAGCTTGGCTTCACATAGGCGTCTTCTAATTGTAACAGTACTCACAGGGAACTTTACACCTTCTTTGATCTTCCTGGAGTTGATTGTTAGCGGAGTCCTTGCCATTTTGGCTATTCTTCTATCCATTCGAATAGTAGCTTTTCACTTTCTTCCACGTCTTTCAGGTTTTGGTTGCCATTTTAAAGCATTTGCGATCATTTTAGCTGAGCAGCCTATCATTTTCTGCACTTCTTTAAAAAGTTGATTGGAGAGGGGAAAACATATAATCAAGGTACGCTGTTCTTCTGAACAACGTCTGGAACGACCCATTTTCCTCAGAATTTCAGAGAAATGCACTGTAACCAGCATGTACAACATTTGCTGCCTTCCTTCCTTAAATAAGGGCAATAATTGCCACCTGTTTTTCAAAGAATGAATGACCTCACTAATAGAACTCCACGCTGCTATTATTTTGAACATGCCCCTTTCAATTAGTGATTCAATTACACAGAATCTGCAGCATGCATGTCATGACTGTTGGGTCTGTTGGATTTCTATTACTCTACTACATCTGCTAGTAAATTATTTGCCATGTAGAAATATCATTTCTACCAAAACCAGTGATTAATCAGGTTAGTGATGTCTGACTGCTATTATTTTGAACACAACTGTAGGTCTGCTTTCATCAACATTGTACACTGAAGACCTGTACTTTCCCTGACTCAAAGAAGCTCTATATCTTGAGAAATGTCACTGATCTCCAGTTCAGTGAAGATAATTTAGTTTGCCATTTAGGTCAGTACTCTTGAAATACAGGTCATCATTGAGCAGCAAACTGTTGCTCAACTCTTCTGTAACTTTTATCAAGCAGGTGATGGAAAAAAGGTAAATATACTTAGTAAAGTGACCTGCCATAAAGAATACTATCCAAACTGATAAGGATCAAAGTAATAAGGATCAAACTTTAAAAAAAATAAAGTACTGTTTAGAACACTTTGCAATTAATGTAAAACGCAAATAAACCTCCCCATTAGCTGGTAGCAGATATAAATGTGTACACTGCTGTGTAAATGTTGTGTACAAATTGTGATGTGTCCAGCTGTAAGCTGGCACAGTTTAGTCCTCTATTCCTCGTGTGTCATGTCTATATACTTTCTTGGTTCCGCACTTGCTGAGGTCTGGTATTGCCTGCAGCCCTTAAAGTGGTTGTAAACCTCAGACATTAAATATGAACAAAGCATATCCCTCTACAGTGTATACTTGTCTAAATTAAGAGCACTAAATGTCTTTTCTGTCTGCTGCTTTCATCCTCTGCTATCCACATGAGTCACTTCTGACAAGTTTTCCTGACACCAAGAGAAAAATTGTGACAGGGAAGGGACCTCCAGCAGATTGAAAGCCTCAACTCTGTTCCTGTGAGCTGTGTGAAGAAGGGCGTGGGGGTCTCTTCCTTCCAATCAGCTCTCACAGCTCTCCTCACTGAGCGGAGTGTAACTTCAGCTCTTAGCCCCTTTTTTCTAAACTTTCAGACACGCTTATAAATTCAGCACTTTAAATGGATGTAGAGAGGAGAAAACTGCAGAAGGATAGGTACAACTTACGTGGGAGGATTTGGTTAATCTCTGTGTATCACTTGAGGATAGTTCCTTTACTGCGTACGTGTAAGGGCTTACAACCACTTTAAAGGTTACAATGTACAGCATTGTGTGCCCTAAACGTTCTGTAAGCTAGCTCTAATATGTGTGTATACTCTGACCATCAACTTTTGTGTGAGTGGTGAGGTTTGACCCTCTGCCAAGTTTTGTGTCCTACTGGTGAGCATTGTCACTGAGAGAGAAAGTTAGGAGAAATCCTAAATTTTATAGGTGTCATGAGAGCAAAGCCGTGAAGGGAAATGTTCGAATGGGAACAAATGTTCCAGTAAAGAACTCTCTAATATAGGAAACTTCTCACTTTTTCTCTTATGTCTTGTTGCAACAAAGTGAAGGGAAATACATTAAACAATAGATCTATGTAAAAGGGGGCCCTTGCAAATGGCCAAACCTAACACATCTTAGATATATCCCATGTATAGTGCTGTCTGACATTTTACAAACCTTGCAATGTAAATACAGCAGACATTTCCCTCTGCGATAAACACAGCAATGAATAGATTTCATATACGCCAGTCATGATAGAAATGTGGCGTCTGCCATTGTTGACCTTTTTACAAAAAAATGCTAGTTGTCTATCTGTTCTGACAATTGAGCTTCCATACTTTCTAAGTCACTGACCTATATTACGTATGCAAATCTGAAAAAAGTCAGAACAAAATCTGTATATGCCTGGTTGGTCTGGATCAATGGTTCAGTTCTGACAGCCAGGCAACTAGGTCAGCAATAACAATTTTCAGGTGTCTTCTGTCAGGTTTCTATTCAATTCAGGGGAAATCAGGTGAACCCCAGCTTTCTACTACCAGTCTGTAAGGGACTGTAGCAGTAAGGAATGATGGAGTCTCACTACCCTATTCTTTTTGCCACGAGTTTAACATTACATGTCATACGGCTGCAGCAAGACAAATGAGACTCTGTTGATGTGTGGTGACAAAGTAAAATAGTAAATCGGTGTATTAGATTTATTGTGCTCATGCTATTATCGTAGATCCAGAAGGTGTCAAACACAAAACCGCATTAAGGCAGCTGTCAATTTGTTCTCATGGCACAAAAAAACTTCCATCTGATTTCCATTATACTGTAGTTAAAAAGTTTCTGGACCAATCATTAATGATTCTTACAAAGCCCACAAAGGTCCACTTATACCTGAAATATCAGTTTTGGTTGATGGCCCTTTGACTATACAGTCACTATTCCACTATATGCACAATCTTAGGATATAGGCATGCATGTAAGAACATTGCAGAGAAAAACATTTGATGGCAGTAGGATTAGCTCCTGGGGTCCAAAATACTGTCTTGTGTCTACTGCTCGTCTCAAAACACTGTCTTCTGCATACTGGTAATGTCCATCTTCCTGAAACGGACATACTGTCAAGACTGCAGAATCTACACATAGAGATGTCCTAATATTGCCCAAAGCCAGGAAGGATTGTGTAAACTAAATGCTGCTTATCTGCCATATCTAGGGATAATAAATGACCTTTAAGCTGGCCATAGACCATTCGGATCGGAGTACAACCAGCCTGCCAGATTTTACATGTGATTATCACTAACAGCTGTTATAGCCACTAGCAATAACCACTGTCTTCTCCCACCGGAGACCGCTTCCCCTGCCCCCCACCTTCCTGCCAGGAGATTACAGTGGCTATGGCTGGAGGGATTCCCCTGTCAACACTGTCTGTGGTTGCAGGAAATAAATTTGCACTGTCTATGGCCTGCCTTACAGTCCAGGACACAATATCAATGCTTTCAGATCCAGAGATGAATGGTATGAAAATGAAATGCCAAATCCAGGTATTGATTAATTCCAGGACATGCTAGTAGGTGAATTGGCGCCTGGTTTAAATTAGCTCTAGTATGTGATGGAAATATAAATTAGGGACCTTAGATTGTACGCCCCTTGAGGATTAACGGCTGATGTGAATGTACAATATATATGTAAAGTGCTGCGTAAACTGACGGTGCTATATAAGTACCTGAAGTAAATTATAATCAGGCTCTTGTTTAAAATAAAACATTTTTTTTATACAGTCAATTTTTTTTTTTTTTTTTTTTTTTTTTTTGAACATCTTAACTTTGTTTTATGAGTCATAGTGGACAATTAATTTTCTAAGCCAAACAGGAGAATTCTGTGATAAGAGCAGAACAGAATCTGATGCCCATAGCAGCTGGATTATTACATTTTAAATCCCGTGCTATATGAGAGCTAGAATGGGACTGCCTGCTGTGGGTACTACCTTTTTATTCCACTTAATAATTTTATAGTATATAGACATTTTGTACAGTAGACCATGACATTGGTTCAGATACCACTTTCGGTTCTCCACTCTGATAGTTTGTGTGTGTAGGTGTAGATAGATAAATCACTTTACTTACAGACATCTAAGTACAACCTCCCTAATAATAAAGTAGTTTTTATGTACAACAGACAATGACATTGGTGTGGGTGCTACTTCCTTTTTTCTCTGCTAGTATAGTGTGAAGATATATGTACAGAAGAACAGAATATTGGTGTTTTGGCTTATTAACTTATAATGTGTTTCTCTTGCTCAATCCCAGGGTGGTACGCTCACTCAATGTGAAGGAAAGCTGCGGTTGGTGGAAATCGCACAAGTGCCCAAAGCCCATGTGGATGAGTTTAAATCTGTGTCTAAGTTCAAGATCTTCAATACAAATAATTTGTGGATCTCCTTGTCGGCAGTCAAGCGGTTGCAAGAAGCCAACTCAATTGATATGGAAATCATAGTTAATCCCAAGGTAAACTGCACAAATTTGCTTGCTGCGCATGTGCTGGTTAATTGGTAAAACAATATCCTGCCTGACATGTAACGTAGACAGGAAATCATGGTCAAAGCATTGCTAAATCTTAACTCTTACCATTGTCTCCACAGACTTTAGATGGTGGTTTGAATGTTATCCAGCTAGAGACCGCTGTGGGTGCTGCTGTCAAAAGTTTTGAAAATTCACTGGGCATCAATGTCCCTCGAAGCCGCTTCCTGCCAGTGAAAACCACATCTGATCTGCTGCTGGTCATGTCCAACCTATACAGCCTGAATGCTGGTTCACTGACCATGAGTGAGAAGAGGGAGTTTCCCACAGTGCCTCTGGTCAAACTGGGCAGCTCATTCACCAAGGTGAGGACTAGAGAGAGGCATAAACATGGCAGTGGGTGTGTATTAGTATCCACATAATGTTTAACGTGTTTTTATAGTATCTTTGCCACTGAACGGCCATCTGCTCATGCTGAAACTTGAATCCTAGCTCACAAGCCTTATCACCCCTAAGCCGTAGAATGGCACACTGAAGGGTGTAGGGATCTTGGCTGCATGTACAGCTGCTCCTTATTTATATATCTGTATTTACAGTACATATACCCTGAAAGTGACATTCTGTCATTGAGTGGAACAGGAAACCCCTCCAGAGCCCCACATCCTGCACCTCACTATTGGATCTTCACTGTTGTAGTCGACCTCGCTAACCAACAGTAAGGAGAGGGCAGATCTAAAGTCAGCCTTTTTGAGCTCTGTTTAGAATTTCCATCATGAAGTGCCTGAGGTTTCTTCAACTCCGAGGGTGCTCTGCAACATCAATAAGTTACTGTAGAGTGGCTTCCTAGTTTAGCCACTTTACAGGCATCTATACATCGCAGAAGTCAACTTTATTAGGAACAAGTTTTATTATATCTTTTTACACAACTTGGGGAATAGCTCTACTTTAAACATTTGATGAAAAAGACCCTACTGGGCTGAACTAGCTGATATTTTATACAGCCTGTGTTGCTGCTATTATTACACTGGTCATGTAGTAGTATTTGGTTCTTGACACTTGCACAGCATGACTTTATTTTTTTTTCCCCACTAGGTGCAAGACTACTTGAGGAGGTTTGAAAGCATACCAGACATGCTCGAGCTGGATCATCTCACCGTGTCAGGAGATGTGACCTTTGGAAAGAATGTTGTACTGAAGGTGTGTACAGTATGCTGAGTCAGCCATCGATATTGTGCTGAACTGAGCTAGCTTCGTCAGTGCACTTCCCTTTCATTACTCTCTCAGGTGCAATTCATACCTCATCAGGATGTACAGCACATAATTTGAGACATTGGCTCAGTCCCTTCTGAACAGCTGAATAAGAATCCGAAAAGCAAACAAGAAATGATTGTTTAAGGATAAGAATTGTACTAATGGGGCTGCGTCACCACTGCTCTGTTTGCTGAGAAAAAAAAAATCACATGAAGTTAAGTTACAGTATACTTGGATTATCTCACTCCGGCAAACATATTGTTTAGGGGAATATGAAGAAATAATTTACACGGTGTTCTGTATAGGGCCAGAGAAATAAAATGGTTCTTCTTTATGCCAGGGGAAGATCTAACAATTTCACCCCAAATAATAAAGTGGAAGCAAGCTTTTGCTCCAACTTTATGTGACACAATGCATACCCCTCTCTTGGTGCCTGCATAGCATTGTGGATGGCGGGGGGGCTTCGGGGAAACTGTTTGTAACAGTACAGTACCTAGAATATCGCAAGTTTTTCTGTAGTTGCGCCAACTGCTACAGTGATTGTCAGCTTTCCCTGTGGCTCTTTCAGGTATGAAATTTGAATAATTGTATCGGTCCAAGCTGGACAACATACAGTGCCTTGAAAAAGTATTCATACCCCTTGAAATTTTCCACATTTTGTCATGTTCAACCAAAAACGTAAACGTATTTTATGTGATAGACCAACACAAAGTGGCACATAATTGTGAAGTGGAAGGAAAATTTATAAATGGTTTTCAAATTTTTTTACAAATATGTGAAAAGTGTGGCGTGCATTTGTATTCAGCCCCCCCGCAGTCAATACTTTGTAGAATCACCTTTTGTTGCAATTCCAGCTGCAAGTCTTTTTGGGGATGTCTATACCAGCTTTGCACATGTAGAGAGTGACCTTTTTGCCCATTCTTCTTTGCAAAATAGTTAAGGCTCTGTCAGATTGGATGGAGAGCGTGAACAGCAGTTTGCAAGGCTTGCCACAGATTCTCAATTGGATTTAGGTCTGGACTTTGACTGGGCCATTCTAACACACGAATATGCTTTGATCTAAACCATTCCATTGTAGCTCTGGCTGTATGTTTCGGGTTTTTGTCCTGCTGGAAGGTGAACCTTTGCCCCAGTCTCATGTCTTTATCAGATTCTAACAGGTTTTCTACTATTATGGCTCCGTCCATCTTCCCATCAACTCTGACCAGCTTCCTTGTCCCTGCTGAAGAAAAACATCCCCACAACATGATGCTGCCACCACATTTCACGGTGGGAATGGTGTGTTCCATTACCATTGACCGTTTGTGCTACACCAGTGTTTGGGGGTGTGTGGTAAAAACATATCTCAACTATGGGGTTTACCCCCCCCACCCAAATGACAAATGTAGCTGTCTCAAGCCCCCATAAGGATACTTTCATACTGATTCGCTGACGTTTAACCACACTGTGGGTGCAGCGCAGTGCACCTTTGGCTTTCCTTAGGGTTTGCTGTGCTTTGCCGTAGACTTCTATTAAATCCTGCGGGTTTGGTGTGCTTTCATAAACTGCACTACACCCACAAGATGTAATAGAAGTCCATGGCTCAGTGCAGCTAACCCACAGTAAAGCTGCAGGTTCACTGCACTGCATCCGCGGATCCGTGTAAAAGCAGCCTGATAGTTAACCCTTTTTATAGGTGCTAATATGCTCATTGCAAAAGCGCAGTGTATGTGTTGTTTAATGAGCTTCTGCTTGCATCTCTTTCCAAGCTGCTAGAAAGGTCCCAGGTGGAGTGCACTTGGTCTCACTTCGCCTGGGACAGGAGTTGGTACTACTACAGAGAATCATCAGCTTATGCGGCTCCTGCTCCCTCCTCAGCCGGTGCCAGCTTGATGCACTCTGATGCTCTGGGATGGTGGGCCAGCAAGCCCAGATTGTGATACCGAAACTGGGCATGCACTTCCCTGGTTTGAGGTTGCAGGCCACACATCAGAGGACTCCATGGGTCATGCTTTACAATGTCCAGTCAATGAAAGAAAAATCTGGTGGTTAGGCTTTACAGCAGTTTGCACTTCATCTTATTGAATGTGATTAGATGAATGGACAGCAGGATTAATGGATGGAGAGGGTGGTAAGCAGTGATGCAGCCTCTGTATCAGAAATGGGGGCTGGGCCATGTTGTTGCCTCTTTTTTGTGTTCGTTTTTATTTATAGTTGAAAATTCCCCTTAAATGATCAAAATGGGAGATTTCTGGAGAAGTAAATTCTGTGTTTAACAAATGCCACTGAAAACCACCTATTATTTCCTTACTGTAAAATGTAATTGTATTTTGGGCCCTTTCTACAAGACGTTTTAATGGCTTCCGTGACAACTATTATTTAGATTCATTCGATCTGAAAATGACCATTGCTGCCTTGCATTTCAGGTGCCTTCAATTACAAATGTACATTTTAAGTGAAAAGTCGTCATGCTGTGTATATGGTACAAAGCGCTCACCACCCACACACACATCTAACCTAATTGGTTCAAGGTGGGTTGGTGAGCGCCTTTAATGTTAAAGTAGATGTCAACTAGATTTAATAATGATTGACGAGAGTCACATCTAAAACCTACACACCGATTACCCACTGCTTTAATTCTGGTCTGTGTTCTTATACCTGAACTCAAGGTAAACCGTAAAAGGAACATAAAATAGCTTGATGCTGAATGTAAACGTAATATTTAAAAATACAATACCTGTTAATTGAAGGGCCAATTCACACTATATGCAGTGACAGACATTTTACCATGAGGCAAAACATCTGTCACCGCAGGGACACACAGGAAACAATTGTTTACTTTGTGTCCCATTTACACAGCAAAGCAGCTTAGTGCTGCACTTTATCGCGGTGCACCGGCCCAAATCGCACTGCAATGTCGTGCAGCGCAGCACACCGCCTAACATTGCAGTGAATGAAGTGTACATTTTGTGCACTTCAAATAAAGCTAATACAGAAAACAAAACGGACAATGTGGTGCGCTGAATTGCCCACCACACTGGCCCCTAGCCAGTCAGCAGCTCAGAGTGGCCGAAGCACTGAATTGTTCTGGCTTCTCTGTCATTTGCGCAGTGATTTGGTGTCCCTTTTTCTTGTGTGACAAATTCACACTTGTCAGCTGTGAAATCGCAAACCACATAAACTATGTCACAATGTTTACCATTACTGAAATTTCTCGTTTAATCAAATGAACAAATGGTATCTCTACCATACCCTAGACCAGTGGTCTACAAACTATGGCCCTCCAGGTGTTGAGGAACTGCAAGTCCCATGAGGCCTTGCAAGACTCTGCCTCTGGGAGTCTTGCCTGTGGCTGTCAGAGGCATGATGGGACTTGTAGCACTTCAACAGCTGGAGGGTCATCGTTTGGAGACCCCTGCCCTAGACCCTGAAGGTTGTCATTTGAGTATTGTGGCTAAGCAAATGAAGCAAGTTTTACGCTGCCTCCGTTAACACCTAGGTGAAGGCAAACGAAAGCAATAAGTGAAGTCCACAAGTTGCTATAAAAGCAAGACTTTGTTCCTTAGTTGAGACATATGGTCAGTACATTGATATTATTGACATGTGATTCATGTTCCTAACCCTGCTTCTGTAGCCTGGCCTTACCGAATTTGTACTCTATGTCCTGTTAATATTTTTTATATTTTTGTCCTGTTCATTTTTTATATTTTTATTCTATTAAGTCTTTAGATGAATCGTGTTTTCATATCCACTGCCACTTATTAGGAAAGTAATTTTCCTGAATTTATTCATAGAGTGTGAAATGAGGGTGTACTCTGTGGGAAGTGATACCTCTGCTTGAGTCACGACAGCAGAAGATCAGTGTGCGAGTCTTGCAGGAGACCCTATTAGAATACATAGCCTGCCACATAGCTCTCCAGTTATAGTGTTGGGTGAAATTACCATTTTAGTGTTTTAAGATCTTTCTACTCTATATCTCATCATTAGCTGACACGTATATCAATGGTTACATTTCTATTTTCTTATCTGACCTGTCGCATACAATGTGGACCACACAGTAATGATTCTATGAATGTTAATGCCTGATGGCAGAAAGAGATACCTGGTTTATCTTGGCGAGGAAGTGTTTGGCCAGAGGGTGTTGGGTATCTCAGAGTGCCCACTGACATATGATCGTTTCCCCCTGCAACCATAACCTGGTGGATTCCTATGTCTATGAACTCCTTAACTGCACTGAAATTGATAGTATTGAGATAATCAGGCTTTTTGGGTCGTTTAATTAACCTGTGCTCTTTCTGTTTCTTCTTTAGGGCACAGTAATCATTATTGCAAATCACGGTGACAGAATTGACATCCCACCTGGTGCTGTGTTAGAAAACAAGATTGTGTCTGGAAACCTTCGGATCCTGGACCACTGAGGCACTGTCATCACCTCTGCACATACTTGTTAATATGAATGATGTACAGTATCCAATAGTAAACGTTCTGAATCCAGGTGGCTGGTACCCAGCTGATCTGACCTCTGCAGTCCTTATCCCCTACACCACAGATGTCAAACTGACAGCCCTCCAGCTGTTGCAGAACTACAAATCCCATGAGGCAGTGCATGGCTGACAGTTACAAGCATGACTCCTACTGGCAGAGGCATGATGGGCCTTGTAGTTCTGCAACAGCTGGAGGGCCGTCAGTGTGACACCCCTGCCCTACACTATTGTCAGTATTGTACAATGTCTGTGTGATATATAGTCTTTATTTAAACAAAGAAGAAGATGAATTCCCTGTTATATTTGAAAGCAATAAATATAGTATTTAGTAATCTGAAAAGCAAAGAGAAACCCTGGTGATGTAGAAGACCCTTTAAAGTGCAATACCGTCCTGATGTGTGACAATAAAAGAACAAACCAAAGCTTATGTGTGAGATTAATAACATTTTATATTTCTTTTTTTAATTCTTTCTTTTTGTGAATGATCTTTCACGTATGTTATATGTGAAAGATCATGAAAAGTTAATGTTAACTTTTCAAGATACTGTGCAGGTACCTGGAAAAGATGGCAAATGGAATGTACGCATCATATGAAAAGTAAAAATGCAATGGGTAAAAGTAGGGAAGGAAAATATATAATCAACCAGAAATACCAAAAAAAAAAAATCACTGTTGGCACCTGTTTCTTGTGAGTTTGAGCAGACAGTGAGGTACAAAATGGTGTAGAATGCATGTAGGGGGAATCTTGAAATATAGATGTTGTGAGGGCGAGCGTATTATGATGAGCTACAATGATACTATAATGGAAAAGGACAAAGGGGGGGGGGGGGGAGGGTGGCGAAGTTAGGAAAGAAGGTGCAGGGCCCAGCTGGGAACCCCCATTGTAGAAGGCCAGCATTAATCACATCCTACTCTGATGATACAATGTTCAGGTTGCAATTATCAAACCAGGGTGACCATAAAAAAATAGAATGAATATCATTCATTACAGAGATGAGTTTCTCATGAATTGTGGTGCCCATCACTCTGTTCCATCTTCATAAAGTTCAAAGTAGGTTGCCTTCAAGCTTTGGCTATCATTTGCCATGTAGTTGAAAAGATAAAGGTTAATATTTTTTCACATCTGGTGAGATCAGTCTAAGTAAAGTCTCCCATGGCGTTGTGAACCAGGTTTCTCTGATTAAATTGTATACTGAGATCCATGACTTTTGGATCTTGGGCCACAGCTATCTAATGTATTAGAGTATTCCCTGTACCCCACATCCACAATGGAGAGCATTGAGTATGAATGTGAAAAAAGAAAAAAGCACCTTGTGAGCATTTCCTTGGGTGTGAAAATTGGTTAAACATTATGCTGCCATTCTAGGGATTCCACCAGATCCTGCTACTAGTTAGGCATGTGAGTTTGTGGGGTATATAAGAGGTAATGATCTCATCACAGTAACTCTAGAAACAAGCTCAGGTATGGTACATAGAACTGGAGTTTATTTTATAATGTACACATTTTGTATTTGGGTTATATTTACATTTAAAAAGAGTTTCTGAAGAACACCGGAGGTCACAGCGGGCAACAAAGAAAAGCAACATGCAAAGAGATTGCAAGAGCCAATGTGTTAAGAGGATATAGAAGGCAGAACCATCAGCAGGGTACCAAAGCAGTGGTGTAACTACTAGGGTTGCAGAGATCATACCTGCGACTGAACCCTGGAGTTCCAACACCATGGAGGACCCCAAGCAGTGTTGTGAACATGGGAATTTGGGGAAAAAAAAAAAATCCTGATTTCTCCTGTCCATAGGACAGATAATCTGCCTGTAAATTTTAGGACTGGTGGCAGCAGCTGAGCGTCTTTGATACTCTCCCAGCCCAGCGTGCCTTCATGGACTGGAGAGCAGAGGGCAATACAGCTGCTGCTCCTCGTTCCTCCTCTGTCTGCCTGCCCGCTGCACCCACACTCCTCACCTCCTATGTGCAGCTGTACTGATAGAGAGATGAGATGTGTGGGTTGGAAATATGAAAAACAGCAACTACAGATTTCCTGGCTGTGTGAATGATGCTGCTGCCTAAGCCACCATCCTCAACCCTTGCGTGAGTCAACACTAAGCACGGCAGTACACTGTGATCTCTGAACAGTCCCTATCTTCCTCCCTTCTCTCCTCCATCTGTCTCGCTCCCCCTCTCTGTTCTTCCAAGAGCTTCACAAACTTGCTCAGTTCCAGTGAGCACTTGGACAACTTATACATTGATCACTTTTTTTTTTCTTTTCCATTCAAGCAAGAGGTTGAACGGAAAAAGGCCCTGGCCCTTCATGGTTTCTTGCATTGGGGCCCTGAAGGTTCTAATTACACCTTGCAGACAGAAGAAGTTGCAGGATGAAGAGAAACAAGTTCTGGGATGGGGTTCACTATCATAACACTAGAACTACCACACATGATATGATTGTAGAGTATAGGGGAAGTAATCTTCATGCTCCAAGGAAAGCGGTGCACCCACCCTAGAGATTAGAATGTGCCTAACTGCCTTATCTTGGAAAATGTGAGATCTGTGGACAAAATTCTATACAGCAGTCAAAGAACTGGAGATGTTTGGTGAGAGAAGTGCTGCAGTACCTATAAACCACATGTGGAAGTACACCAGCCCATGTGTTCACACTGCACAGACTTTGCTACACACCGCACCACAGATGATTACCCCTCCTCATTTTTTGTGTCTCTTCAGCCCCCCTTTCCAGACCATCCTATCGCAGCTGTAGTTCTGAGTCAGAAACATGCAGGGCTTGCAGTGCAAGTCTTGCTTCAGTCCACCAATATTACTGAAAATTATTTGCCACATAGGAGAAGTTGGTGTTGTAAAAATTATCTGCCCTGGGTTTAAAATACATTAACATTCTTAATTCAAAATAAGTGACAAAGTGTGGTTTGAGTTATCAGGTTTTAAAATGCATCGCGGTAGGAACTTAAAGTGGAACTTCACGCTCAATCAACATTAACTATTGTTCATCTTTATGCTGCTTAGTCAATACTGTAGATTGGAAAGTGTATCATATTTATTTGTCCATTACTCAATGGGTCAGGGCTGTTTGGGTGGCAAAAAGAGGACCTTACTCAATATTAAGGGGGTGGTTATAAAGTTATAGCTGATCTGTGTATGTGGCCTGAACTGGCCATTTACAGCATCTACCATTCCAAAAATGCCAGTTTTACCATGTTTTCAGTGTTGGAGCATTTTTATAGCTAAAAAAAAAAAAGACCCACTAGTTCTGTTTTCCAGCCAAAAAACATTGATTACAGTCTGGGTGTGTGTGCATGAACACATAGGTTCACATGCTGGGGAGTTTACTGGCTGTAGAAAAAAAAAAAGTCAAAAGCCAAAAAAGCAGCTGTAAAAATCATCCAGTGTACATGAGGATTAAACCAAAAAAGAAAATCTTATATGACCTAGTCCAGCCCAGAATATTATTGATTCTTTCTGTGCATAGTGGTACATTGCAGGTCAGAAAACTGAGCGCCATCCCTGATCATTAGGAGACCTCTAGCAATAAGGCCTGTTATTCTCTCTTGAGCTGAAACATTTTGATCTGGTCACAAGCCTGATATCACTTAGACTGTGGAAAAACATACATTTTTCTGTGTTGCATAGCAGTTCTTTGTCACAGGGTGTGTAAAGTTTCTCCATGGTGACGCTCGCACATTGCATCATGTCTGACAGCAGCATGGTGACACAGCCTGGCAACAGAGGTGTGGTAATAAAAATTCATTTAACTGGAATCTCACAGTTCTTCCTTCTAAAAACAAGTGTTCATTCTACGGAAAATATTTGCACAGTTTTCTTCATCGGAAGTGGAATAGTTGATTCATATTAACAAAACAAAAAAAGTATTCTGTAACATAGCCTATTTTTCATTTATTAGAAATGCTTTTAATTGATGAGAGCTGTAATCACAAAAATAAAACTGTAGGAGTGCAGCATGACAGCCATATCTGCTCCATGTATACATTTAGACCCCATGCACTCAGGCAGGGAAAAAAAAAAATGCTGCTTTAGAAACTTTTTTTTTTTTTTTTTGTATGTCTCTGACCGCAGCACTATATTATCCTATGTGTCCATGCACATTATGGCACTTATATTCCTATTTTAGAACAGCATTCAGAGAGATGTGAATTTGAATAATTTATATACACAGTGCTATTAAAGTATTCATACCCCTTGAAATTTTCCTCATTTTGTCATGTTACAACCAAAAACATAAATGTATTTTATTGGGAATTTGTGATAGACCAACACAAAGTGGCACATAATTGGGAAGTGGAAGGAAAATGGTTTTTTTTTTTTTTTTTTTTTAAATATAAAATGAATACTGATCTTCATAGAGTAAAGCACAGGTGAATGAGCCCTTAAATTTTTTTTTTTTTTTTTTAAATTCTCACATTTTTGTAGCAGTTATTTTTTTTAACTGCCCGGGTGGGGTGGGGCTTTAAAAAGAACCTGAAAAAGTAGAATTATGATAGATGTTCATTCTTGCTTCACTGTTTACTAGATGCATGTTTTGTGGGGTCAGTGACTAATGGTTGTGGCTGTACATGGCATCATACTGTTATATGCACAAAATTTCCATTTAAAGTGGTTAGAATGCATGAAGGTAAAAAAACCTTCAGCCTTTACATGGATAAAGGTTAAAAAAAAAAACCACCACCCTTCTTTGTGCAGTTGTGCCCCCAGCCCCCTCAATACTTACCTGAACCTCATTGCAAGCCAGCGATGTAAATGACACCCTTGGCTGGCACGGGTGACTGCCTCCTCATTGGCTGAGGCAGCAAGTCAGCCAATAAGAAGAGAGGGGAGTATGGCCAAGCTGTAGCTTCGTGTGTGAATGGACACAGAGCAGTGGTGCTCCCCATAGCAAGCTGCTTGCTGTGGGGGCACCAACAGGAGGGAG